CATCGACACCTCTTTGCCGCCGTTCTACATCCTCGTGTACGTTGACGACTTGGTCTTTGCCACACCTGACACTGCTGGACTCGCCCACGTGAAGTCTGAGCTGCAGAAGAGACACACGTGCACAGACCTGGGTGAACTGCGCAGCTACCTTGGCTTGCAGATCACCCGGGACAGAGCACGCCGCACCATTACCCTGACTCAGTCACACATGGTGCAGCAGGTTCTTCAGCGCTTCGGCTTCACGTACTCCTCGCCTCACGCCACTCCTCTGCCTACTCGCCACTCGCTCACAGCTCTGCCTTCGGATGAGTCCGTAGAGTCGAGTGGCCCATATCCAGAGCTTGTTGGCTGCCTCATGTACCTGATGACCTGCACACAACCTGACCTTGCATACCCTCTTAGCATTCTTGCACGCTATGTTGCTCCTGGGAGACACACGCCGGAGCATATGGCTGCAGCGAAGAGGGTGTTGCGCTACTTGTGCAGTACGTCGGGCATGGGGCTTGTGCTTGGAGGGCAGAGTCCAGTGGTCCTCACTGGGCACGCAGATGCTTCTTGGGCTGACGACCAGGCTACGCAGCGGTCGTCACAGGGTTACACCTTCAGCCTTGGTTCCGGCTCTGTTTCGTGGCGGGCTACCCGCTCGTCTTTTTTTCTCGGCTCCATTTGTGAGGCTGAGATCTACGCCGGGGCCATGGCTGCACAGGAGCTTCGTTGGCTCACCTACCTGCGGACTGACCTCGGAGAGCCGCCTCGTTCTCCTCCATTGCTGTACGTAGACAACAAGGCCATGCTGGCCTTGTATCGAGAGCAGAGACTGGAGCACAGAACGAAGCACATTGCTCTCCGCTAGTTCCTTGCTCGTGAGCTACAGCAGCGTGGTCAGCTGCGCCTTGCGTACGTGGCCTCTGAGGCCAACACTGCTGATATCTTCACCAAGGCACTTGCGCCTTGTGATCATCAGCGCTTCTGTACTCAGCTGGGTCTTGTGCCTACCTTGCCTCACTTGCTCACCCCTTGACCTCGTTTGTACTGTTGCATATATATATACACACTTGCTCTTGCTTGTTTAGCCTTATATATATACATATATATAATCCTGCATGTGAACTGGCCTTGTGGCCTTGAACTTGTGCTCGGAATGTGTGGTGACTTTGTGATCCACCCTGAGCTTGCTTTGCTTTGCTTGACTGGTCTTGTGACCCCTTGTTCTCCCCCACTTTGCCTATGGGGGTGTGTCAAATTATAATATTGTGTAGGCTATAGTGGGGTAGCACATATGGGGTACAGCTTTCTATGGTTTGTACTTGTACCCAACTTTCCCTTAGTCATTCTCATTCTCGTTCTAGTTTTCTCACCGTTGCCCATCGGCTAAATGGTGGGCGGATAGCATAGCACCTCATCAGCTGTGCGACAGGAGGCTCGGTGCGCATCAAGATTTTGAATGCTCACCTATCTTCCTGCCCCCCTCCGCGTATGTTCAGGGCTAATTTTTTTTTTTTTTTTTTTTTTTTTTTTTTTCATCGCATACTGTCAAACCTCTTCTCGCCACCAACCATCGGATGGTAGGATGGCATGAAAGCAAAGGGACCAACCAGGACAAAGAAAAACCTTTATCCCTGCCCTGAACCATTTGGTGCGGACCCTGGATCCCCCCTCTGACCCTGAACCAGGGCCGCACTAGTCCCGCACCCATTTTGCCTGGGAGAGGGGGATTGCTTGTGCTTCACTGATTCAGTGTTCTTTTGGGCAAAGGCAGGCGGACAAGATTGCATAACACTCGTTAGGTCCGGGAAGGGGTTCAGTTATTCGAGCCAAGTATAAAGGAATACGCCCTCGAAAACGAAACTCCTAGGATCTCCAGTAGAACCCTGGAAGAAGCATCAATTTGGTGCTGTGCGGAGGGGTCCGCACCAAGTGGTGCAGCAACAGAACAGGGCCCAATATTTTGCTGCCTACAAGTGTTGGGAGGGAATCCTGCCCTGGCAACATGCGGGAGATTTCATATGTGACTCGTTATCATTTCGACTCAACTGAATTTACAGTGACGAGAGCTTTAATTTGCTGTATTTCAACAAAACATAAGTGGGACTGGGATTCCCAGTGGTTCATGATTGGGAATCTGACATGGTATCAGAGCAAAGGTTGTCAGAATCCCAACCACTAGACCATTGGGATAAAAGGGCTTGTTTCAGTAGCGGGTCAGTGCGCCCATAACCCCCTAGGCGAACGCGCCTGTAACCCTCTCCAGGATCAATCGGGCATCCACAGTGCAGATCTACTAACACCCCCCCACACTGGGAGGCCCAGGACTAAGCACAGCGGCAACGGCCTACATGTGCATACACTGGGAATCGAACCCGAGACTCCTCTGATACCATGTTAGAATCCCAACCACTAGACCATTGGGATAAAAGGGCTTGTTTCAGTAGCGGGTCAGTGCGCCCATAACCCCCCAGGCGAACGCGCTTGTAACCCTCTCCAGGATCAATCGGGCATCCATAATGCAGATCTACTAACAAAGGTCTCGGGTTCGAATCCCGGTGTGCATCTCGGGCATCCCAGTGCAGGGGGGTGTCAGGGGTACACTGGAAATCCCCGATTGAACCTGGAGAAGGGTTACGGGCACGTTGGCCTGGGGGGTTATGGGCGCACTCACCTGCTATACAAACAAGCCCTTTTATCCCTGTGGTTAGTGACTGAGATTCTGACAATGAGGAGTACGAGGCGCAGGAAGGGGAGGAGGGGGATGATAGCGAGGTTTTACCCTGAGGCATCAGTGTGATATTTTAAAAAACCCAGCTTGGTTGTCGTTGTTATATTGAAAGCACACAATAAATTTATTAGTCGTCATCAGACTGTGAAAGAACAAGGAATGATGAACTTGCAAACAGGTGGGTACAAGTGTTGTACCCCATATTGTCTACCCCACTACAGCCTACACAAACTATAGCATATGAGTTTGACACACCCCCATAGGCAAAGTGGGGGAGAACAAGAGGTCACAAGACCAGTCCAGCAAAGCAAAGCAAGCTCAGGGTGGATCACAACGTCACCACACATTCCGAGCACAAGTTCAAGGTCGCAAGGCCAGTTCACATGCAAGATCATATATCAAGGTAAACAAGCAAGTGCAGGTATAGAAAGATCACAGTACAAGCAAGGTCAAGAAGTGAGCAAGTGAGGCCAAATAGGCACAAGACCTAGCATCGTACAGAACCGCTGATGATCACAAGGCGGAAGTGCCTTGGTAAAGATATCAGCAGTGTTGGCCTCAAAGGCCACGTAAGCAAGGCGCAGCTGACCACGCTGCTCCAGCTCATGAGCAAGGAAGTAGCGAAGAGCAATGTGCTTCGTTCTGTGCTCCAGTCTGTGCTCCCGACACAAGGCCAGCATGGCCTTGTTGTCTACGTACAGAACTGGAGGAGAACGAGGCGGCTCTCCTAGGTCAGTCAGCAGGTAGGTGAGCCAGCGTAGCTCCTGTGCAGCCATGGCCCCAGCGTAGATCTCAGCCTCACAACTGGAGGTGAGAACAGAAGACGAGCGGGTAGACCGCCACGAAACAGAGCCGGAGCCAAGGCTGAAGGTGTAACCCTGTGACGACCGCTGCATAGCCTGGTCGTCAGCCCAAGAAGCGTCTACGTGACCTGTGAGGACCACTCAACGTCGCCCTCCAAGCACTAGCCCCATGCCCGACGTACTGCACAAGTAGCGCAACACCCTCTTAGCTGCAGCCATGTGCTCTGGTCGGTGTCTCCTAGGAGCAACATAGCGTGCTAAGATGCTAAGAGGGTATGCTATGTCAGGTCGTGTGCATGTCATCAGGTACATGAGGCAGCCAACAAGCTCTGGGTACGGGCCACTCGGCTCTACGGACTCATCCGAAGGCAGAGCTGAGAGCGAGTGGCGAGTAGACAGAGGAGTGGCCTGAGGCGAGGAGTACGTGAAGTCGAAGCGCTGAAGGACCTGCTGCACCATGTGTGACTGAGTCAGGGTAATGGTGCGCTGTGCTCTGTCCCGGGTGATCTGCAAGCCAAGGTAGCTGCGCAGTTCACCCAGGTCTGTGCACGTGTGTCTCTTCTGCAGCTCGGACTTCACGTGGGCAAGTCCAGCAGTGTCAGCAGTGGCAAAGACCAAGTCGTCAAGGACGGAGGACAGACAGACTCAGACTCAGCAACAAGACTAGCAGCGTAGTCTAGACGACAGCGAGCAGTAAAGTCGACAAGCTCAGCAACTAGGGCCGACGCAGCAGTGGACTCAAAGGAAGGGTCAGTGAGAACAGTAACCAGGAGACGCGTGACAGTAGGACTGGCAGCACGAAGAGAGTAAGACTCCAGGTCAGCAAGAACAGGAAGAGAGGACTCTGGAGGAGACGGCAATGGGACACGCAGAGGAGCAGTGGACGGACGCAGTGCCATCTGGTGTGTGCTTGGGACCGCAGGAGGACGCGGACGCAGAGCACGACTACTAGTGCGAGCAGCACGAACAGGCGACACAGGACGAGACGCAGGCTCACGACGCTCAGCATGACCTCCAGTAGGACTAGTGTAGGGAGAAGGAGCAGGCAGGGGGGAGGCGGGCTGTAACTGTGACCGCAACGGGATAGGCTGTGGACACTCTTAGGGAGGAGTAGGACCAGTAGAGGGCGGGAGACCAAGAACCTGCTCAAGGAGCGGAACGAAGTACGGCCGCAGCCGCGCAGCGCCGCCAGAACCAGCAGGGACAACACTAGTACCCCCAGCAACAGCACCAGCGCCAGTAGCACCTCCAGCTCGAACAGTGCCAACTCTAGCACCCTCAGAAGTACCAGCGCCAGCAGCACCTCCAGCGCCAACACCCCTAGCAGCTCCAGCTCCAGTACCCCTAGCAGCTCCAGCTCCAGCAGCTCCAGCTCCAGCAGCTCCAGCAGCACCAGCTCCAGTAGGTCCGCCAGTCCCAGTACCGCCAGTAGCTCCAGCAGTCCCACCTCGCTGACGCCCAGCGTACCACTCACGAAGCTGCTAGGGGGACGGGGTCTCACGAGTGCGCTGCTGCTGCTGGCGCGGACCACCACCGGAACCACTCCTCTGCGCAGAGCCGCGACCAGCTCCACCGCTGCCGCCGCAGCCTCCGTCACCTCCGCCGCCTCCGCTCCCACAGCCACCGCCGCCGCCTCCTCCGCCTCCACTGCTGCCACCGACACCCCCACCCCCTCCACTGCCTCCAGTGCCACCTCCACCGCCCCCGCCAGCCCCTCCAGCGCCCTTGCCCCCCTTGCCCTTGCCGGTGCGGCGTCTCCCGCTAGGGGCAGACGCAGCTCCGACCGACTCGAAGCCAACGAGGTCGGCCGCGGCAGCAGAAGCAACAGAGGGCAAGAGGGGGGAGGGGGAACACCCCTCAAAGACGGGGGTACGAGGGTCACCACGAGAGGCTCCTACAGCGACTATGCTCTTCTCTGCTGCCAGGAGGCGCTCCTCGAGGAGGTCAATGGTGAGTGTGGTGGGGCAAACTAAGAGGAAGTGGTCCCTGACTAAGCGAAGGAAGTCAGGGAGCCGGGTGACTTTGTAGTAGAGGGTGATGTATATGGGGGGGGGGGTTCTTGGCACAGAACTCAGCAGGAAGCGCAGCGCGGTAGCGAGTGTCACTAGTGCGAAGGTGCGTAATGAGGTCAGTGACTGTGGGAAAGGCAGCAAGGTCAGGGAACAAGTACGGCAAGATGAGGCGGCTAAGAGCAGCAGTGGCAGGGGAAGAGTAGCGTGCAACTACAGCGTCGTACAAGGTCTTAGCACTCTTGTACTGACTAAAGTGCGCACGCTCAGCGGTCGGTAAGTGGCGACGCACAGCAAGACGGGCAGCAGCATTGCGTATGGCCCACTGTGAGTGAACAGTGCTGTCAGCATCAGCAGGCGGGGCAGGGGAGGCACCAGAGGTGAGATCGAATAGAGAGAGTCCGTCGGCCCTATCGCACTGTAGGAAGAGCTGTAGGTCATCGACCCAGACCTCGAAGTCAACAGCATGACCCTCAGCATCAAAGGTAAGGACACTGGAAGTAGCCATGACAGCAGTGGTCTAGTAGGGAGTGCTCTCACCAGTCCGGGTGGGTAGGGCCGGTAATGGCGGCTTGACGGCAGCCTCGGCGGCTCGGCTGCTCGGTGGCTTGGCGACTCGGCTGCTGGGCGGCTCGGCGGCTCGGCGGCTCGGCGGCTGGGCAGCTCGGCGGCTCGGCTGCTGGGCGACTCGGCTGCTCGGCTGTTCGGCTGCTGGTGGCTCGGCGGTGAAAGGGACGGCGACGGGGCCACAAGGGGCGGCGACGGGGCCGCTAAGGACGTCGACGAGGCTGGTAGGAGCGGCGACGGGGCCGCGAGGGGCTGCGACGGGGCCGCGAGTGGCGGCGACGGGGCCGCTAGGGGCGGCGACGGGGCCGCGAAGGGGCCGCGAGGGGCCTAGAAGGGCGGCGACGGGGCCGCTAGAGGCGGCGACGGGGCCGCGAAGGGGCCGTGAGGGGCCTGGAAGGGCGGCGACAGGGCCGCTAGGGGCGGCGACGAGGCCGCGAAGGGGCCGTTAGGGGCTTGGAAGGGCGGCGACGGGGCCGCTAGGGGCGGCGACGGGGCCGTTAAGGGGCCGCGAGGGGCCTTGAAGGGCGGCGACGGGGCCGCTAGGGGCGGCGACGGGGCCGCGAAGGGACCGCGAGGGGCCTAGAGGGGCGGCGACGGGGCCGCAAAGGACGGCGACGGGGCCGTAAGGGGTGGCGACGGGGCCGCAAAGGGTGGCGCGAGGGGCCATGAGAGGGGCCTCTAGGAGGGCGTGACAGGCCGCTAAGGGCAGGGGACGCGACGTGAGGGCGGCCCACGAGGCGCGCCTTGGGCAGGGGCGACTCGCGCTCCGGTCAGGAAAAAAAAGTCGATTTCAATGGTGGGCCCTGAGAAGCGTTCCCACTAGGGAACCTGCTCTATACCATGTGAAGAAAATGAGGAATGAATGAACTAGCAAGCAGGTGGGTACAAGTACGAAAACCTAGAAATGTTGTACTCCATATTGTCTACCCCACTACAGCCTACACACACTATAGCATATGAGTTTGACACAGGAAGTAACGCTCGTGTCCCTGGCCACAGACGCGGGCGGGGCACCACACGTCCATGTGAAGAGTCTGCAGCGGAGCCTCTGTGGGAGGAAACTCGGAGGAGTGAGGGGCGGCGCGCTGCCGCCCCTCGACGCAGGGAACGCAAGTAGGGGCAGGCCCCGGAAGGAGGGGAGGAAGGGACCGGGGGAGACCAGAGACAAGGTAACGGGAGGCCATGCCTCGGAGACGAGGCAGGGAGGGGTGACCAAGGCGGTGGTGCCAGAGGAGAGTCTGGTGGGACACGAGACGACACGAGCAGGGAGCAGACTCAGGACCAGACCTGGACGCTGCAGCAAACACCTGACCCGACGCAGCTACTTGACCAGACTAAGCAACCGGAGGGGACTCAGTAGTCAGTGTGTACAGGCTCGACCCCGGCTTACGGGTAAACGTGGCCAGGTGTCGGCCCATCCGAGCACACGTACAGTGGGTCACCCGCTGACTCGCAGGAGTGAACTGGTCAGCCCCCCCATCCTGTAGATCAGCACCACTCACCAAGTTCGTAGAGAACGAGGGGAGGTAGAGACCAAACAGGGTGCCAGAGGGGGCCACCGGACACGGTAAGACAATGGAGAAGTGGGCAAGGACAGGACCCCCAGAGGGGTCCGCCAGGGAGACCGCAACTGGCCGACTAAGCGGCGTAAGCGTGGTACGGTCTCGAAAGAAGGAGCGGGAAGCACCCGAGTCAAGGGTGAAGGTGTGTAAGGCCTGAGCCGACGTGGTACCTGAGAGAGTAGACGCACCAGTACTTGGGGCAGCACACTCACCAGTTACTGGAGGAGCAGACGCACTAGCACCTAGAGCAGCAGCCTCACCAGCACCTAGAGCAGCAGTTTCAATGCCCTGGTCAGGTGGAACACACAGGTAACAGTCACCTGCATCACTAGTAGGCAATGTATACATGGCAGTGAGGATAGCATCATAGTCAAGAGTATAAATATCTACCCTCAGCCTAAGCAGCTCCACCCAGTCGGGGAGCTGAGCCGCGTCGCCAAACTCCGTACGCCAGGCGTCGCTCAGACGGGCGAAGTAGCGGGACTCTGTGTGACCAAACGTCCCGCAAGGCTGACCAGTCCGAGCACTAGTGCGAATGACGTACGTACAGCGAGCAGTACCCCGTGACCCGTCACGCTGAGCGTACCACTCACGAAGCTGCTGGGGCGAAAGGACGGCACACCGACGACGCTGCAGCTGCACGTGGCCACGACAAGCAGCTGCCGAACTACTCACTCCAGGACGAGTCCCACTACGGCCACCCCGACAACCCCAAGAAGCATACCACTCACGAAGCTGCTGGGGCGTGAGGGACTCACGCGGACGTTGCTGGAGCTGCATCTGGCCACCGCCAGGAGCAGCAGGAGCAGTGGTAGCCGCAGTAGTAGCAGTAGCAGTAGCAATAGCAGTAGTCGCAGCGCGACCACTCTTACAACCCCAACTAGCGTAACACTCATGAAGCTGTTGGGGGGCGAGGGACTCACGTGGACGGCGTTGGAGCTGCATCTGGCCACGCCAGGCGTAGGAGTAGAAGTAGAAAGAGCAGTAGCAGCAAGAGCAGCAGTAACAGTAGTACGGGCAGGGCAGTGGTCACCAGTGGCGAGAAGGGCATGCGTACGACGGCGGTAATGGCGAGGCCGCTACCACTGTAGGGCGAGGGCTCTGCGGCAGCTGCAGGGGCGGCTGCTCTAGGGGCGGCTGCTTCAGGGGCGGCTGCTGCTCCAGGGGCGGCTGCTGTAGTGGCGGCTGCTCCAGGGGCGGCTGCTGCAGGGGCGGCTGCTCCAGGGGCGGCTGCTGCAGGGGTGGCTGCTGCAGGGGCGGCTGCTGCAGTGGCGGCTGCTCCAGGGGCGGCTGCTGCAGGGGCGGCTGCTCCAGGGGCGGCTGCTGCAGGGGTGGCTGCTTTAGGGGCGGCTGCTGCAGTGGCGGCTGCTCCAGGGGCGGCTGCGTCAGGGGCGGCTGCTCCAGGGGCGGCTGCTGCAGGGGCGGCTGCTCCAGGGGCGGCTGCTGCAGGGGTGGCTGCTCTAGGGGCGGCTGCTGCAGTGGGGGCTGCTCCAAGGGCGGCTCGTGCAGGGGCGGCTGCTCCAGGGGCGGCTGGTGCAGGGGTGGCTGCTCCAGGGGCGGCTGCTGCAGTGGCGGCTGCTCCAGGGGCGGCTGCTGCAGGGGCGGCTGCTCCAGGGGCGGCTACTGCAGGGGTGGTTGCTTCAGGGGCAGCTGCTGCAGTGGCGGCTGCTCCAGGGGCGGCTGCTTCAGGGGCGGCTGCTCCAGGGGCGGCTGCTGCAGGGGCGGCTGCTCCAGGGGCGGCTGCTGCAGTGGCGGCTGCTCCAGGGGCGGCTGCTGCAGTGGCGGCTGCTCCAGGGCGCGGGTTAGGGCAGGGCGCCGCGGCGGGCAGGGGTGACGCCACGCGGGTCCCCCAGGGGCGTCGCGACGCACAGGAGCCGCGCCTCGCGGGTCCCGCAGGGGCGTCGCGATGAGGTGGGGGCGACGTGGCGGGGCCGCGACTGGCGACGGGGCGGGGCCGCGACTGGCGACGGGGCGGGGCCGCGACTGGCGACAGGGCGGGGCCGCTACGGGCAGCGGGGCGGGGCCGTGAAGGGGCCGCGAAGGGAGACGCGAGGGGGCCGCGAAGGGGCCGTGAAGAGGCTGCGAAGGGGCCGCAAAGGTGCCGTGAAGGGGCCGTGAAGGGGCCGTGAAGGGGCCGTGAAGGGGCCGCGAAGGTGCCGGGAAGGGGCCGTGAAGGGGCCGCGAAGGAGCCGTGAAGGGGCCGCGAAGGGGCCTGAAGGGGCCGCGAAGGGCCGTGAGAGGCCGTGAGAGGGGCCGTGAGAGGCCGTAAGAGGGGCCGCGAAGGGCCGTGAGAGGGGCCGTGAGAGGCTGTGAGAGGGGCCGTGAGAGGCCGTGAGAGGGGCCACTAAGGGCAGGGGACGCGACGGGAGGGTAGGCACACGGGGCGCGACTCGGGCAGGGGTGAAGCGCGCTCAAGGCAGGAAAAAAAAAAATCGATATTCGGTGGGCCCTAGGAAACGTTCCCACTAGGGAACCTCCTCTATACCATGTGAAAGAACGAGGAATGATTAACTGGCAAACAGGTGGGTACAAGTAGAAAAACCTAAAAGTGTTGTACCCCATATTGTCTACCCCACTACAGGGGTGAAGCGCGCTCAAGGCCAGAGGAGAACTCTCCGCCTCTGTCAGAGTGCAGACGCAGAACAGGAAAGTCCGAGCCGAAGCTCTGCCTGAGCTGGAGACGAGCTGCGCGGATCCAGTCGATCAACACCTCAGTGACATCACCCTTGGTGCGCAAGGGGAAGACTGTGGTGTAACGCGAGTAGTCGTCAACCACCAGCAGGAAGTAGCGCTCGTGACCCTGTCCACGGACGCGGGCCGGGCCCCACACGTCTATGTGAAGCGTCTCCAGCGGGGCCTCTGTCGGAAGAAACTGGGAGGAGTGAGGGGCAGCCCGCTACCGCCCCTCGACACAGGGGACGCAGGTAGGGCCAGGCCCAGGAGGAAGGGGAGGGAGGGACCGGGGAAGACCAGAGACAAGGACACGGGAGGCCATGCCTTGGAGACGAAGCAGGGAGGGGTGACCAAGGCGGTGGTTCCAGAGGAGAGTCTCGTGAGACAGGAGGCGACACGAGCAGGGGTCAGACTCAGGACCAGACCTGGACGCTGTAGCAAACACCTGACCCGACGCAGCTACCTGACCAGACGCAGTGGTCAGTGTGTACAGGCTCGACCCCGGCCGACGTGTAAACGTGGCCAGGTGTCGGCCTGTCCGAGCGTCCGTGCAGTGGGTCACCCGCTGACTCGCAGGAGTGAACTGGTGAACCCCCGCATCCTGTAGGTCAGCACCACTCACCAAGTTCGTAGAGAACAAAGGGAGGTAAAGACCAGACAGGGTGCTAGAGGGGGCCGCCGGACACGGGAGGACAGTGGAGTAGTG